GACTCAGTGGAGACCTTCAGAAAGCAGCTAAAGACATTTTTATTTCAAAAAGCTTTTAATTACACCAGGGTATTTATGACTGTATTATGTTTTTACCTTGTAAAGCACTTTGTGACATATGTCTGTGAAAGGTGCTATATAAATAAAGTTTACTTACTTACTTACTTACTTACTAAAAACAGAGATAAAGAAAAGTAGACGCTGAACCATAAAAGACACAAAAATAAATCTCACAAGAAATTAATGAAGAAAACATCTTTCACAAAAGCCTCTGCCACCGTGGCAGTTTAAATAAGACAGGTAAAGAATTTCTGACTTTAAGCATCAATATTCAGATCTACTGCTCCAAAAACACAGTTTTACAATTAATTTCTATGTTTTTTCTTTACTTTTTCCTCAGTAAATTAAAATTTTCCATTCAGTTCGTTTTAATTGGCAGCCCTATAAACTCTGAACAGCTCCTCGGCTCATGCTGACCTCATTATTCAGAGATTTATCGCCGTTCTCCGTAAACACCGCGACGCCTCTCTGTGGCATGTCAGCAGTTTCCACCAGTGAGCATCCACGCAGGGAGTAACACTGTTTGCAAAGGGATTTGGACTCATGTGGTGTGAGTTCCAGTGGAAAGAGCTGAAAACAAGTCTTTCATTAAGATGGCATTAACTTCTCTGCTGGACTTCTCACAGTACTTTGACCTGGCAGCTGATGTCCTGGCAGAAAACGCACATCTCACCTACAAGTTCCTCTCGCCGGTGAGTAACGAGCATCCTCAAGAGACCAGCCAGTTGATTTTATTCTAATTAGCACATCTGGTGTAGTGTCGTCTGCACAAATGTGACTAGTAATAACAAAAACAATCATCATCTGTTTCTTTTTCAGTACATGTACGAGTTTCTTGATGCTTTGTTGACCTGCCAGACGGCACCAGAGGAGGTACGGTACAAAACACCTGACCCCTTATTAACAGTAGGAAGCTATTTTTAAAGATCTGTAGAAAATCAACCAAATGTCCACATGATATGAAAGTTTCACGGCTGAAAAATATATTTAAGCTCTGTTAAAACTGTTCTCATTGAAATGTCGCCTTCCAGCTTGGACTTGGATTCATGTGCAAGATGTTTTTGAGTCTCTTTGTAAAGACTGTAAATGAAACAGATCATTTTAGTGAAGTGGTTGAAATGAGAATTAGTACCTTTACACCTGAGCTGGAAACAAAGAGAGTGCAGACTCCAGGACGGGGAAGGAGTTTCAGTTATGTGAGGGTGTTCACGAGTGAGACGAGAGGTCAGAGAGGAGACTGACAGACGGACCAATGAGGACGTTGTAGCGGTCCGTTGTGGTAAAGAGGAACTCTTTATGGCTCAGTCTACGTTCCCTCACCATGAGACTGCGTTTTGACTGAAAGCAGCACTGAAGACACATCAGCTTCCTCTGAGGGGTTTCTCAACTCAGCCATAGATTGGATGAGGATCTCAGTCATTCAGTTGAGCTGCTGCTCCACATCGAAAGGAGTCAGTCAAGGTGATTCAGGCCTCTGACTAGGATGACTCCTGGACCCTCTCTAGGAGACCCCAGAGCAGAACCAGGGCACTCTAGAGAGGTTTTGTAATTTGGCTTGCTTAGGAACACTTAACCAGCCTCCTAGAAGAACTGGAGGAGATGGCTGGGAGGGGGAGGTCTTAACACCTATGCTTAGACTGCTGCTGCCACAATCCAGACCTGGACAATCGGCAGAGAGTGTATAGAAGGATGAAATTACAAAATAATACTCGTTAGTGCGAGTGCTAGAAACATGAACC